AGGCCTGTCTCCTGCCACAGCATGAAGTCCTCAAAGAAAGGGTCATCTGGCAGGCTCTGCTCCCAGGGGAAGTAGCCGGTCAGCAGGCAGAAAAGCAGCACGCCGAACGCCCAGGCGTCTAAGCTGGTGTCAATGGGCACTCCTTGGGTATCAGTTGTGTTGCTCAGCTCGGGAGCGGTGTAAGGGATTACACCAGCCACCAGCTTGAGCTTGGTACCCTTGGGCCGTGTAAGCCCGAAGTCAGTCAGCTTGATGCGCCGACACTCAGGATCAAAAAGCAGCACGTTCTCAGGCTTGACGTCACGGTACACGAGCCCCCGGCTGTGGATGAACTCCAGTGCACTCACGAGCTGCTTGGCACACTGCTTAGCGGCTGCCTCAGGGATCCCATCCTGCACAGGGAAGAGGGACAGGTAGTACAGCACATGCAGGGCACCCTGGCAGCCCAGCCAGCTGGGATCTCACCTACATGCTCTGCACTGGGGAAGACCTTTACATTTCTGGTCTTGCAGGCCTGAAGCTGCTTCAACACTGTAGACCCCAGAGATAAAAGACCCGCAGCCCATGGTCTTTATCGCCCTCCTTCCAACCCAGTCAGCCTGCACAGGGCCAAATGCTGCAGCTCTAGTCCCCACATCCTCATGGCAGCACCTACCCGGGGTTTGATGATAGAGATGAGGTCTTTGTGCAATGCTGGTTCGTAGAGGAAGCCGTAGTACTGACTTGACTCGATGGCAATTCCAAACATGCCAATGATGGCAGGGTGGGTAGCAAGGGAGAGCGCCACACAATACTCATACAGGAACGTGTGCAGCTTGGTACTGGCTTTGGGTAGCAATTTGAGAGCCATAGGAGTCCCTGGCAATGGGAAGAGTGGGTTAGACTCCTCTGAAAGTCACTCACACCAAGGCCAGACAGAGGGGGCACTGAGGAGCTGTAGGTCCAGGCACTCACAACTACAGGAGGGTCTCTGAACCAACATTTTATATGGATACATCCTATGGACACCCAATCTGGGAGCAGGCACTGCCACTGGTGTGGGGTTTGAGCCTGTCAGCGCTTGTACAGGAGCACTGGCTAGAGGAAGGGAAATGCAGGCTGCATGGGCCCATCAATCCAAGCTAGGACTACAGGGAAAGACTAGCGGCAGAGCCCTGTGGGCACTCATAGGCCTTAATAGACTTGGCCAACCACACGTAGGACCTCCACTCACACCTTCTGTCTGTGGGTCTTGGGGCACCCTTTAACCTCAGGCTTGGGACTTCACTCCCTGCCTGAGCTTTGTGGTGAGAGTGCTAGCTTCCATCTATATTACGTCCATGCCAGTGCCTTGCTGGGAAGATTCCTGTCCTGACGGTCTTCCTGGGGAACCCCCACCGTGCCTAGTGCACGGACCTAAGGAGCCAACACCCCACCCATCACTCTGAAGACTAGAGGGGAGGCAAGACACAGTAGCTCAGAGTGCAATCAATTCATTACCTCTCTGCCTGTGAGTCACGAGCATCACGTGGCCATACTTGCCCCTGCCCAGCTCCCGAATAACCTCATAGTGTTCGGCCACCTCTGTGCGCACCAGACTCTGAGCTGTGATCTCCAGGAGCTCATCCAGTACAGTTGGCACCGCTGTCCCTGCTGCAACTGAGTTTTCAGCCATTGCTGAGCACTGTGATAAAAAACATAGCCTGGGTCAGTAACATCACACCATGTATAGAGAAAAACAGGTGGGACACACCACACAAACCATGGCACGGCAGGGCGTTTGGAGCCATTTGGAGCTTGAGCACTCCTTCAGCTGTTGTACCACTGAGATTGTGCTTTTTATGCAGTACACCTCTGGGCAAAGCCCCTCATCTTATAAAAGGTCCCTGTACCAAAGTGAACCTCTCTCAGCCCTCTGATCTGCTGCACACCCTGGAATAGTGACCTGCTTGTTTCTCTCTAGTTGTAGTCTCTGGGACCTCTCATTTCAGAGACTTGTACCATCTTTCTGCGTCCATATTACAGAATGGCCTTCCAGGCCTCTTTCTTACTCCAGTCACCAAGGTGTCATCCAACAAGCAAAACATTAGCAGTCCCAGATAATCAAGTGTGACCCAGTCCTCTTGCTTTCCTTAGGCTACTGCAGCAAGACCATGTCTCCCTGCACAGAAACTCACTTCTACTGTTTAATGAAGAAAGTTCTTCAGGTAGCAGCAGAGACAGACTTGACCCTTAGGCAGACCCACAGCTGGCCCATGACAAAAAACATGATTACTAGTCAGAGGCCGTGTGCTCTGAGCAAGCCAAAAGGAGCTCAGAACCTCATACGTCTGCTGACATTTCTGACCCAAAGTCACTCATCTGTGCAGCCAAGAAACTTAGGCAGGAAGGAAGCTCGGACATCAATAGCAATCTGTGCGGCAGCCAGCTGCTTCAGACCCGTTTCAGGCAAATGCTTTTTCAACCTCCCCTGCCAGCTACAAGGCAACATTTTCAGGCCCCTGTGGCGGTACTCTCTCGCTGACTACCTCCCTGTGCTTTGAACACAGGCATCTCAGGCCTGGGACCCTCTCCTGGCTTTGGAGCAAGGTCACAGAATCAGCATCATAGGATGGTCAAGGTCGGAAGGCTAATAAGATCACCTAATGCAACCTCTTGCTCAGAGGAAGGTTAACTAGAGCAGGCTGCTCAGGACTGTGTCTGGTCTGTTTTTGAATATTTCCATGGATGGAACTCCACAACTACTCTGGGCAACTTGTTTTAGTATTCAATCAATTAATTATGGTTAAAATTTTTTTCTTATGCCTAAATAGAAATCCTGTGTTTCAGGCCCACTGCCTCTTGTCCTGTCACTCAATATCATTAAGATGACCAGTTTTATTAGTTTCTCCTTGTTTGAGAGATGGTCCAGTATCCTCATCATCTTCACAGACTGGGTTGTACCAGTATGTCCTCATCTCTCTTACACTGAGGAGCCTAGAACGAGACCCAGTAGTCTAGACCTCTCCTCGGCAGTGGTGAGGAGAGAGGAAGGATCACCTCCCTCAACGTGCTGGTAATGCTTTGCCCAATGCAGCCCTGGGTGCAACCCAAGAGCCTTTAGGTTGCAGCATTCTTGGATATCTTAAACAGTTTGCAGTGAGACAGAACTCCAGTGTAAAACCAGTGGCTCATCTCCACATCTACAAATTCATGGATGTCCTTCTATGAAATACTCTGACTCAGATGGCACTTTCTGGGGGAGGGAATTGCTAAGAAGGAAGATGACATCCTGGGAATATGAGTGGAAGCAGAAAGAATGAAACATTTTCCTTTAGTTTTTACATTGCTTTATCTGTGATCAGAACTTATATTATAGTTCCTTCAACTTCTAGGCTCCAGTGCTGCTAAATCTGGTCCAGTAATTTACCAATCGAATTATTTAAGCCTAAGAAAGATGCAAAAATAAAAGCTATATTTGCATATGAAACTGAGAGTACTGTGGAAGATTTTCTTGAGCAAGGAAGACTCTCCACTGGTCAGTGAGAACTGAGTTAGAGACCTCTTGGAGCAACTGAAAATGCATAAATCCATGGGTCCTAATGGGGTACATCCATGTGTGCTGAGAGAGCTGGCTGGCATTGTTGCTGAGCCCCTCTCTATCATTTTTGAAAAATCATGGAGAGGTGCTTGAGGACTGGAAGACAGTCGGTGTCACTCCACTCTTCAAAAAGGGCAAGAAGGAGGACCCAGGCAACTACAAACCAGTCAGCCTCACATCCATTCCTGGAAAGGTCATGGAGCAGCTCATTCTGCAGGCCATCTCTAACCAAATGGAAGAAAAGAAGGTTGCCAGAAGTAGCTAATATGGATTTACTAAGGGGAAATCCTGCTTGACTAATTTGATATCCTTCTATGAAAGAGTGGCCAAATGGGTAGATGAAGGGAGAGCAGTGGATGTCGTATACCTTGATTTCAGTAAAGTTTTTGATACTGTCTCCCATAACATCCTCGTGGGAAAACTCAAAAAATATGGGATAGATGACTGGACAGTGCGGTGGATTGTGAACAGGCTAAACAATAGAGTTCAGAGGATTGTGATCAGTGGCACAGAGTCAAGTTGGAGGCCTGTGGCCAGTAGTGTTCCCCAGGGATCAGTACGGGATCTAGTTTTGTTCAATATTGTCATCAATGACCTGCATGAAGGGATAGAGTGTACCCTCAGGAAGTTCGCTGATGATACAAAACTAGGGTGGTGGCTGATACACAGAAAGGCTGTGCTGCCATCCAGCGAGATCTGGACAGGCTGGAGAGCTGGGCAAAGGGGAACCTCATGAAGTTCAATAAGGACAAGTGCAGAGTCCTGCATCTGGGGAGGAATAACATCAGGCACCAATACAGATCAGGGGTCATCCTGCTGGAAAGCAGCCCCATGGAGAAAGACCTTGGAGTCCTACTGGACAGTAAATTGTCCATGGGACAGCAATGTGCCCTTGTGGCCAAGAGGGCCAATGGGATCCTGGGATGCATTAAGAAAAGTGTGTCCAGCAGGTCTAAGGAACTTCTCCTCCCACTCTACTCTGCCCTGGTGAGACCACACTTGGAATACTGTGTCCAGTTTTGAGCTCCTCAATTCAAGAGAGACAAGGACCTACTGGAGAGAGTCCAACAGAGAGCTACGAGGATGATTAAGGGACTTGAACATCTCTCCTATGAAGAAAGACTGAGAGAACTGTGGCTGTTTAGCCTTGAAAGAAGAAGACTGAGAGGGGATCTTATTGATGTACTCAAATATCTGAGGAGTGAGTGTCAAGAAGAAGTGGCCAGTCTCTTCACAGTGGTGCCCAGTAACAGGACAAGGAATAATGGGTTTAAGTCAGAACATAGGAAGCTCTGCCTTTCTGAAAAGGTTTTGACTTGGTGTGACAGCCAACAGCAGCCAAAGTTGGTACAGTCCCTACTGCAGGGAATTCAACTATGAACGAGTATGTGTATGGGAGGGAATGAATGGAAGGCTGGGGAGAAACTCACAGGGAAAGACAGTCTGGAAAGTATTCTAGAGATTTTGCTTTGATGGCCTCCTGGTTGCTGCCCAGCTGGCACAGCTTGTGAAATTCCACATAGCAATGGCATCACAGAGCCCACAAACAAACCCACTGTGCCGCCAATATTTCCAAATAAGCGCTGCCACATTTAGGTGTTAAATGGAATAGCTGAAAAAAAACTGTTAAAAAGTCTTAGCTAGGACTACAGAGAAAAAACTTTAAATGAAAGGCCCACTGAATAGAGAATGGAACAAAAGGAGATATGTCTTGTGCAGAACACTGTAGACTTCAAAAAAAATATCAAAATATCTCTGCAAAAAAATCAAAAGATCTTTTCTGTCTTACAGAGTTTCTGCTATATCAAATTCACAGTCATATACAAGTTCTTGTCAGCAAATAGTTCACGATCTTCTCAGATAACTTAATTTCTCAAAGTTGAGTTAGATAAAATTTCTTCCCTTGTAGGCTGACCACCTGTTAGTGCTATCTAACCCAAAGGTTAAAATCTTCTCAATGCATCCACTTAATGTATTATTCAATAATGATATGATTTTCACATAACTATTAATTAACATGATTTTATTTGTATTTAATTATTTATTATCTGATTCATCTATTCTATTTTCATATGATTCGTTACTTCTCTCCTATTTACTGTGTGAAAATTTGCTTTTGTGGATGGGAGAACGTTTCCATCTATATTTTTGGTTCCCAATCCAGCCTTGGAAGTCAAAACATTTCAGTCCATAAGCTTTTGCAAAACTAACTAACCAGATAGATAGATAGATAGATAGGCCAGTCTTGTGTCCTTCCACTTCATATTTCAAATGAACTGTGAAACATAGTGGCAAGGATCCTTACTTCCATGTATGGTCCCACCGGGGTGGGAGGGCAGATTGTCTGGGTACTGAGTAGAGCGCCAGCTTGGAAAAACAGATCAGCCAGAGCATATGGGTGGAGTGTCTTGAGGGACAGTGACAATCCTGTGGGTGTAATCATGACTCCATATGAAGGAAGGCCCAGCTGCAGTTATTCCAGAGCAGTCTGCAGGCTTTGAGCACTGCTGTCCTCGAGGAAACTCATTACAAGGCACTGGCCATACTTCAGGAAATAACCATAGCTGTCAGGTCTTTCTCTGAGATACCACTGCCGTTAGCTAGGAAGCTAAGGGAGGGCCAAATGTCAGTCACTACTGAGTAGAGTGTGCCTGGGTGCTCTGCACCTACCTCTGTTACCTTCCAGAGGGCCATTTGCCCTTTGCAGAGTGTGAGGCACTGGGGAGGAGGCCACCAGGGCCCTGGCGAGGGTGTGCTCACCATCTAGCTGTGCTGTATTGATGGCAGCAGGCTGGGTCCTTTTCAAAACTATTCTTTCCTCCAGTGGTTTTCCTATGCTTCATCCTTGCTAAAGATCCTGTTTCCAGGCTGTTGTCAACATTCAAGAAACCCTAATTCCCCCAAAGAGTCTATAATTACAGCAGCAAGAAATTCACATCCTATCGGGAGATGCTTCCCAACTTCCTGAGGAGCTGAGGAGGAGCTACTCTATGGAGGTATGGTGTCTTGGTCTAGGTAATATTATTCAACCAAAATTATTAACATATTTGGTTCTGTAAAGCACTCCATACAAGTCAAGAATTAAAGACAGCATAAT